TGAACCCCCATTCTTTTTTTCAGAGACGGAGTCTTGCCCTATCACCCAGGCTGGAGTGCAATGGCGTGATCTCGGCTCACCACAACCTCGGCCTCCTGGGTTCAAGTGATTCTCCTGCCTCAGCTTCCCAGTAGCTGGGATTGCAGGCCAGCACCACACCATGCCAGCTAATTTTTTATATTTTTAGTAGAGACGAGGTTTCCCTGTGATAGCTAGGATGGCCTTGAACTCCTGAACTCATGATCTGCTGCTCGCCTCCACTTCCCAAAGTGCTGGGATTACAGGCGTGAGCCACCGTGCCCACCCCCTATGCTTTTCTTCAATCTGGTTGCCAGGCGGGAATAAACAATGACATGAGAGATTCCAGTCTTCCTGATTGGACTGAACTTTGTTGGCGCTTGGGAGCTCAGGCGGACAACAGCATCTTCTCAGAGCTGTTCTCTGCTCCCGAATTCTCCCCAGCCTTGAGAATACAGAACACACTCTGCTGGGTCCTAGTCGAGTCTGGAAGAAGGCTTTGGACAGAACAGGGACCAGGTTCCATGGGAGGGAACAGAGTTTGGGAGAGATCATGGCCAGCTGTCAACCGCAGCCCCTGGTTGAGGAGAGGAGCCCCCAGCCTAGCACCTTGGGGTACTGCCTCCTAGAGGTGGATGATGAAGTGCCAGGACCATCAGGTGAGGGGACTGGAGCAAGAAGAGATGGGAGAGGACTGACTAAGAAGAAGGAAGGGGGCTGGGCGCAGTGGCTCACACCTGTAATCCCAGCACTTTGGGAGGCTGAGGCGGGTGGATCACCTGAGGTCAGGAGTTTGAATCCAGCATAGCCAACATGGTGGAACCCCGTCTCTACTAAAATACAAACATGATCCTGGCAGTACTGGTGCACACCTGTAATCCCAGCTACTCAGGAGGCTGAGGCAGGAGAAGCGCTTAAGCCTGGAAGGCAGAGACTGCAATGAGCCGAAATCCTGCGACTGCACTCCAGTCTGGGTGAGGGAGTAAGACTCTGTGTCAAAGGAAAAAAAAAAAGAAGGAAGAACCGAGTCATCAGAAAGGAACACTTGAAGAGGGTGTTGGGGAAGAAAGAAGGGACTCAGGCCAGGCACACTGGCTCACACCTGTAATCCCAGCACATTGGGAGGCCGAGGCAGGTGGATCAATTGAGGTCAGGAGTTTGAGACCCGCCTGGCCATTTTTGTATTTTCTGTAGAGATGGTGAAACCCCATCTCTACAGAAAATACAAAAATGAGCTGGGCATTATGGTGGGCACCTGTAATCCCAGCTACTTGGGAGGCTGAGGCAGGAGAATCACTGGAACCGAGGAGACGGAGGCTGCAGTGAGCCGAGATGGCAACACTACACTCCAGCCTGGGCGACAGAGAAAGACTTTGTCCCACAAAATAAAAAAAAGGAGGAAGTCCGGTATCCAGGGACTAGGGAAGGAAATGAAGCATTCTGAGGACAGACAGATGGAAGAATGGGGAGGAGAAGGAGAGGCACATGGGTTTCAGTAAGGGAGAAAGATGGAAAGATGGCTTGCAGAAGACAACAGTCTGTGGGGCTGGGAGGATGGAGAGTGGTTTGGGATTTGGGGTCGGGGTCTCAGGTGATCAACAGTGGAAGCACTGCTTTCTTTACTTGTCTCCTTGGGTAGATCCTGGTACGCCTAATATCCTTTGCTGTAAAAGGAAGAGGGAGTGGTCAGACGAATCTGAGGAGGAGCCCGAGGAGGAGACAGAGAAGGAGCGCGCCCCTGAGCCTGAGGAGACCTGGGTGCTGGACACCCTGTGTGGGCTCAAGATGAAGCTTAAGCGACGGCAAGTGTCACCCGCGCTCCCTAAGAACTACGAGGCCTTCAACACGCTGCTTGGTAGGAGGACACCCCAGAAAGCACTGCTAATCCTTTTCTTTTAAAAAAGAGGAAACTTCCCATAACCATACTTTCCCAGTGGGAAATGCCCCCCAGTGGGTGAGCTCTCCATGTGGGAGGAGTCAGAGGATCCTAAGCATCACTCTTGAGGGACACTTAGGAGGCCACAGATGATTTGACCAGACTCAATAAAGGTCAGTGATAGGGATAAGAAAGCTTGGATTCTCAGGCCAGGCATAGTGGCTCATGCCTGAGATCCCAGCACATTGGGAGGCCAAGGTGGGTAGATTATCTGAGATCAGGAGTTCGAGACCAGCCTGATTACCATGGTGAAAGCCCATCTCTACCGAAAATACAAAAATTAGGCATGGTGGTGCACGCCTGTGATCCCAGCTACTCAGGAGGCTGAGAGAAGAGAATTGCCTGAAGCCACAGGTTGCAAGTGCGCTGAGATCACGCCACTGAATTCTCTCCTGGGCAACAGAGTAAGAGTCCATCTCCAAAAAATAAATAAATAAAAATAAAAGAACAGAAAGAAAAACAAAATCAAAAAACGAAGAAAGCGGTTTTAGCTGTGCCATGTGAAACTTAATGTCCCTTGCTGACTTTTCTCATTCATTCATTCACTAATTCATTCGAGACGGAGTCTTCCCCTATCACCCAGGCTGGAGTGCAATGGAGCAATCTCGGCTCAATGCCACCTCTGCCTCCCAGGTAGAAGCAATTCTCCTGCCTCAGCCTCTGGAATATCTGAGATTACAGGCCAGCATCACCACCCTGGCTATTGTTTTGTATTTTTAGTAGAGATGAGGTTTCACCATGTTAGCCAGGATGGTCTCCAACTCCTGACCTCATGATCTGCCCGCCTCGGCTTCCCAAAGTGCTGGGATGACAGGTGTGAGCCACCGTGCCTCACCTCTGTGTTTTTCTTCAAACTGTTTGCCAGGTTGGAATGACCAAAGACGTCTGCAATTCCAACCTTCCTGACTGGAAGGACCAAACTCTGTGGGTGCTTGGGAGCTCCGGTGGACAACAGCATCTTCTCAGAGCTGTTCTCCACGCCCGACTTCTCCCCAGCCTTGAGACTAGAGAACTCACTCCTCTGGGTCCTAGTAGAGTGTGGATGAAAGCTTTGGGCAGAACAGGGACCAGGTTTCATGGGGGGAACAGAGTTTGGGAGAGATCATGGCTGGCTGTCAACCTCAGCCCCAGGTTGAGGAGAGGAGCCCCCAGCCTAGCACCTCGGGGTACTCCTCCAGGAGGTGGTGGACGATGAAGTACTGGGACCATCAGGCGAGGGGACTGGAGGAAGATGAGATGGGAGAGGATTGACTAAGAAGAAGGAAGGGAGCCAGGCACGGTGGCTCACGCCTGTAATTCCAGCACTTTGGGAGGTCATGGCGGAGGGGTCACCTGAGGTCAAGAGTTCCAGATGAGCCTGCCAAAATGGTGAAACCCCATCTCTACTAAAAACACAAAAATTACCCAGGCAGTAGTGGTGCATGCCTGTAATCCTAGCTACTTAGAAGGCTGAGGCAGGACAATCTCTTGAGCCTGGGAGGCAGAGGTTACGGTGAGCTCAGATAGAGGCACTGCACTCCAGTCTGGTTGAGAGAGTGAGACCCTGTCTCAAAAAAAAAAAAGAAAAAAGAAAGAAAAAAGGAAGAAAGAGAGAGAAAGGGAAAGAGAGTAAGAGAGAAAGAAAGAAAGACCCAGAAGTCAGGAAGGAGCGACTGAGGGAGTGGGTGGGGGAAGAAAAAAGGGACTCAGGCTGGGTGCAGTGGCTCACACCTGTAATCCCAAGACTTTGGGAGGCCAAGGCAGGAGGATCACTTGAGGCCAGGAGTATGAGACCAGCCTGGCCAACAAGGTAAAACCTCATATCTACTAAAACTACAAAATAGAGCCAGACATTATGGCAGGCACCTGTAGTCCCAGCTACTTGGGAGGCTGAGGCAGGAGAATCACTGGAACCCAGGAGACGGAGGTTGCAGCGAGCCAAGATTGCACCACATACAATCAGCAATCCAGCCTGGGTGACAAAGCAAGAGAGTCTCAAAAAAAAAAGGGCGGGGGTTGAGCAAGCCAGGGACCAGGGAAGGAAATGAGGAGGCATTCTGAGGACAGACAGATGGAAGAATGGGGAGGAAGAGGAGAGGCATATGGGGTTCAGCAAGGGAGAAGCCAACAGTCTGCGGGGCCGGGGTGGATGGAGAGTGCTTTGGGGCTTTGGGTCACGGTCTGAGGTAATCAATTACAGAAACATTACACGGTGGTGGCCTGCTTTCTTTACTCATCTCCTTGGGAAGGTCCCGGTTCGCCTTGGTTCCTTTGCCGTAAAAGGAAGAGGGAGTGGTCGGATGAATCTGAGGAGGAGCCCGAGGAGGAGACAGAGAAGGAGCGCGCCCCTGAGCCTGAGGAGACCTGGGTGCTGGAGACGCTTCAGGGGCTCAAGATGAAACTAAAGCGACGGCGAGTGTCACCCGTGCTCCCTGAACACCACCAGGCCTTCAACAGGCTGCTTGGTAGGAGGACACCCCAGAGAGCACCTCTAATCCCGTTCTTAAAAAAGAGGAAACTTCCCATAACCATAGTTTTCCCATGGGAAATACATGCTTCCCCAGTGGGTGAGCTCTCCATGCTGGAGGACTCAGAAGTGATCTCTCATGAGGGACTTAGGAGGCCATAGGCGATTCAGCTAGACTTGATCAAGGTCTGCGATTGGGGTAAGAAAGCTTGGTTTCAGGCCAGGCGCATGACTCATGCCTGAGATCCCAGGAGGTTGAAAGGCTGAGGCAAGAGGATCACTTGAACTCAGGGCTTTGAGGCTGCAGTGAGCTGTGACTGCACCACTGCACTCCACCCCATCAAGAAGGAAAACTGGGCCAGGTGCGGTAGCTGACGCCTGTAATCCCAACACTTTGGGAGGCTGAGGCGGGTGGATCACGAGGTCAAGAGATCGAGACCACCCTGGTCAAAATGGTGAAACCCCGTCTCTACTAAAAAAAAAATACAAAAAATTAGCTGGGCATGGTGGCGCGTGCCTGTAATCCCAGCTACTCAGGAGGCTGAGGCAGGAGAA